CCTCTGCCAAACTTTCTATCAGGAAGTACAACTCTCTGCAAGGGCTCAGACTTAAATCCTTCAAATGCAAGGTTGATTTTACTTCTAAAATTATTCTACTGACACAGACATTTACTTTGATGGTCTAGCGTAATAACAGATTTGCTTCGAGTGCTTTGTGGAGTGAGTAAAACTGTTTTTAGTGGCAGACTAACTATGCCCATTGACATGCACTAGCCTAGCACCAGCGACCTCTGCAAATACAAGGACTGGATGGAATATTTAAAAAAGTGTCTCCACACGTTTCCATCACTCTGGCTAACTAAGAAATGAGGTCCTATGTCCAAAATTCCAGACTGTCCCTTTAAAAAGCACAGACAGCTTATCAAGTCCTGCATTTGGCTTGATTAATACTATGTTTTGGTTCAATTCCAGTTTAGTCCCAGTTAAATTCTTACTTTTGTATTTTGTTGTTCCTTCCTGTTTTTGTTAAATGTCCTCAGTAACGTACTCTTTTCTATCTGGGTTAAGTTCCGTTTGCCATTTTAGAAACTCGCTTCTTTAAATCTAACATTAGGGAATGTTCACCCAACCTTAACACCATTACCTCACTTATGACACAATAAAACCCCTGAGCCTTGTTCCTCTAATCAAACCAGTGAGCTAATTTGTCATGGTCGACAGTAGCGGTGCTCGTCCGTGTACGTTTCCATGGCGTTGGTTGTCCATTTGAATCCTTCTCTGTGTTTTGAAAAGGCCATTGCTATTCATTATGTCAAAGTCGTTCAATAAGGTTAATTTGGTCATTGGTTTGGTTATTCTAAGGCGACATTTACACATACCCAGGTATGCTGAGAAACAAATGTTTTCCTCTCTCCGTTTTCCAAAATAACAGTGTGCATCATTTTCAAAAAAGTTTTCATTTACATCAACCCGCATACGCCACACGTCATGTCTACATCAAGCCTATGGGTGGCCTCTGCAGTAGATTCAAACCTGTAGTATTTATTTCATTACAGTTGTGTCCAAGTTACAAGTGTTTGCACCAGAAGAAATGTGTCAGATCATCAGAACAAAAGGTAAACATTGGTTGTACTTTTGGCACGTCAGCTCCTACAAACTCTATTTATCTCACTTTACATTCAAAAACAAAACTGTAGATTTCCAGAATCTCCACTCTGACCGGAGTTTTTAGATAGATTTGTTTTCAGAGGTGAATTTGCTCTGGCGTGTAAAAGATGGGTACTAACAAACGGAAATGTCTCAGTTTTTAAAAAATACCTGTGTACGTGTAAACAGGGCTTAAAATAATAGTTTTTTGAAGAAGTTCAACTGCAGATGATGCTAGAAGAGGCATTCTGGCTGTAAGCGGGGTTGCCTCTTCACAGATCTGACCTGTAACTTGGCCTGGTTTGGTCTCCATGATGATAGAAACGTTTAATACCATACTGTGAAACACTCCAGATAAAGCAACAACCATGGAGAAAAGCGTTTGACTGACCCTCCACTAGAAAAGTGACGCAGTACACCTTTAAATCTCAAACTTAACTTGTATTTCTTGGGAAAATTTTCACCCAACCTAGACACCCTTACTCCAGTTACAATACAGTAAAACCCCTGAGCCTTGTTCCGCTAATCAAACCCATGAGCTAATTTGTCATGGCCGACAGTAGCGGCGCTCGTCCGTGTACGTTTCCATGGCGTTGGTTGTCCATTTGAATCCTTCTCTGTTTCTGCATCATCCACAAAGCGTTTGGTGTCTATTACTCGCCTCATCTGTCACTGCGCCTCACTAATGAAGTCCTGGGTGGATTTATTAGCAGCTCTTCCCAGCACCATCGCACCATTGTTTTGAAGAAGAGAAGCTAAACCTGTTAGCGACTGAGACGGCAACAATGGGGTTTTCTGTTTAGCTGTGCATTAAATTGTGGCGTTTCGTGTATTTTATGTTCTGTTCGGTCCATCTGGGAAAGCTTACCGAAAATGAAAAGTTTGAGAACTGTAAAATAATTATAACTTGAAGGAAAATGTAATAAGTCAGACAGAACCCAGACTTTAAGAGGGGCTGTCAATTCGCTGCCATAACTCATAGTAAAACTAAAATTATAACGCTGACATTTTCAGAAGCTTTACTCAACCACTCAATGATAAATAACTTATAAAAAGGCTTAATGTAAAGGATTTGACAAATTAAAAATAAAAATAGTCATTGTACCTGATGTCAACATTCCTTGGGGGTGTGATGCTAATTTAAGGCTCTGTTCTGTCTGAAGCTCTGTTACTCAAATTAGACTTAATCTGAGCTTTGTTTTAACACAATCTGACCATAAAAAACTGACTTAGTTGGAACTCTAACAGATGAACTAATTTTGTGCTGTTAAACAAGTCCCTCTCAAATACTATTACAGTCACAGGTTAGGTAGCATTAGCCAATAGATTTTCATTTGGTCGCTCTCACCTCCTAAACAGGACCATGAACGCGACTATTGATCACAGGCTTGAGAAAATGTGCTGTTTAAATTACTTTTTTTTTTTTTTTTCTTCAGTCTAAAAATGTCTTGGTAGTTGTTAGTGTTTGTGATAACAGTGTTTAAGTATAACAGGGCTACTCACGGCACTACATTTTCGGTAACGGACAGTGTTGGGAAGGTGACTTTTAAAATGTATTCCCCTACAGATTACAGATTACATACCCCAAAATGTAGTTTGCAACGGAATCCATTAAGTTATTTAAGGTGAGTAACGTAATCTGAATACTTTGGATTACTTGATTTGCTGTAGAGTAGCAAAGACCTGGATGGTTTAGTCCTGGTTTAGAACGGGTTTTAGTCCTGGTTTAGATCTCATTTTAGAACTGTTTTAGACCTGATTTAGATCTAGTTTAGAACTAGTTTAGACCTGGTCTTAGTCCTGATTTAGTCCTGGTTTAGCTCTAGTTTAGATCTAGTTTACACCTGTTTTTTGTCCTGGTTTTAGACCTGGTTTAGACCCGGTTTAGTCCTGTTTTTTTTTTTTTTTTTTGGGGGGGGGGTACAGCCCAAAATGTGAAAAACAGGAAAATACCGCAGTGTAATCTATTTATTTCAACAAAGTAACTGTAATCCAATTACCACTCACTGAAACAGTAACTGTAACTGAATACAGTTACTCATAATTTGTACTCTGATTACGTAACTCCAGTACATGTAATCTGTTACTCCCCAACGCTGGTAATGGAGTAATCTAATTAATTACAGTCACCATCGTTACGACGCCGTTATTGTTACCCGTACAGCAAAATGGCACGTTACATTTGGGTTGAATGCGGCGGCGCAGTGTCAGGCGTCATGCAGCGGACAGACGCACATCATGAGCAGGAGCAGGAAGAGCTCAGGAGAGAGCAGGGCAAACATGATTGGCTAAAACGTTTGGTGGGCAGAGTCTCTGCTCACGCTGCCTTGTTGTTTCTTTCCCGCACACTTCAAGCTAAATGAGACAAACTCAATGGCAACGAGGAGCCAGGGACATTCAAAGGCAGCATTTTCAAACTGGAAATACCCTCACTATTTCTCCCTCATTGAAATAAAGGGCAAGAATGTGCAAGTGTAGACTGTGCCCAGGGGGAAAAAAATAAATAAATAAATTCTCTTCGAGTCTGCCTCAAGTAACTCGGATCCAATCTGAACGTTTCATATCGTCACATGCTAAGGCACCTCTCACTGCGGTTCACCCATCCCCGAGCCCCGGTGCAGTTAGCATACAATATAAGTAATTTGTAATGGTAACTAATTACTTCTTTAGAGTCAAATGCCCAACACTGGTAGTTACTGATAATGCATGCATTGTGTCTCCAATAGAGATACATGTTGAACACCCCCAACGTGATGTGACTGCAAAGTATCAGATAGTTGGTGAAAATGATCGCCACCCTTTTGAAATAAACACAAATAATATGTACATTAATATAGTATTGCTTGAGTCAGGGGTGTCCAAACTTTTTTCATCAAGGGCCACATATCTAAACACAGATGAAGCAGAGGGCTGGTCGAGGGCCTAGACTGATGCTGAATACAGTGAATAATTAAAATATGTAAATGTTTAACACATTAGAATGACCTTTTATTCATGCTAAGATCCTTAAAACCACACACTAAATATTAAATATTAGCTTTATCAAGGTAGATTAAAAAAAAAAAAAAAAAAAGTTAAGTTTTAACTGATGCAAAGTAATTTGGCAAGCTGTAAATTTTTTCAAAGCAATATGTGTTCATGGCAAGCTTGAGGGCCAAGAAAATTTGTTGTTCTGTTTAGGGCCGCCGCATTTGACCCATGGGTCATAGTTTGGACATGCCTGGCTTAAGTGATCACAAATGGCAATGCAGAATAATAATTTCTTAAAGGCAAATCTGAACAGAAAACCTCTTGACTTAAATGTGCGTTGTTGCCTTGTTTACAGCTGCAGAAGTTGTGTTCTCATGGCCTCACAACATTCTAAACAGCATGTAGTTTACATTGAGTTCATTTAGATTTGCAGTAAGGCTTCAAATACTGTGCCATTATTCAATCACAAATGTGTATTGTTTTCATTTGAAATGACTTTGAGTCATGAAATTAATTTGGCAGGTTAGTGGACCCAGACTCAGCCTCTTGTTCGCCTGGCAACCCAGTCCCTTCTGCTTTCCGTTTGAACACATGTGGGTCTGAAACTAGTGCATCAGACAAATATTCAGTTTTAGGATGATAACAGTAGGTCTCTCTCAAATGCAGAAGATATTTCTTCATAAATATTCTCATATCATCCATAATGAAATGCAGTTTATAGCAACTTTGACCTCAGATTAGTGCTTCTCTTTTTGAGTCCTCTGTGTTGTCTATGAAGTATTTTAAAAGCATGTAGAAGTAAGTGAATTGCCTCTTAAACGATGACATTGAAATCTCTAATGTCTTGTTCGAGACCGTGTATTTGGGCCTTGTACTGGGTTTTGTGAGTGTGACAGGGCCTTGAGCGTAGGAGGGGGCTTGTAAAGGGGCCTTGTTTGTACCTTGAGGTGCAGTTTGTTGGTCCAGGAGCCGATGACTCTGTACTCTGCCGTTGACCTGTTGTTGATCTGGTACTGGAAGATGTCGTATCTCCCAGGAGCGTCTCCGTTCTCATTGAAAACCACTGGTGTCCCCGCACTCCCTACAAACACATGTGAAGGGTCAGATGGTTCATTCTGGGTTTTACATGTTATTATCTATATTCCTGTATTGTATTATTGTTTAATACAATTGTGTTTTAGTTGGTATGGTTGAACAAATTTGTGAGATAACCGACTTGGTCACTGATATTAATGATCAAATTCAACATTTGTAAATTAGGGGATTATTTTGGGGTAAATAAACAAGGAACACTCTCTAAAAATAGATTTAAATTGTCAACAGAAATGGTTAAAACTGTGTTGTTTGTGTTGTTTCTTTTCTCAAACTTCTCTGTCCACCTTGTGATCTCATGTGGTAATGCAGGAAGTGCTCCACTGTGTTTTTAAACTCCATATCCTCCTGCCCATTCATTTGTGTCCTCTGTAGTGGACATTGAGTTAACCAGTCTACCTTTTAAGTGTTTAGATATAGAGGAGGGACTAGGTTCCTCTGGTTGTAGCTGCACTATGATGAAATTAAAAGGGAGTGTAAAAACTTTCTGGGGAAACTGTAGAAGCTTGTCAGAGATGTTGGTCATTAAAAAAGTTGTTTTTGTTTGGTTGTCAACTTCACATGGATTTAACTCCAAAATGTCCCTGGTGTCCATTAGAGAGGACATGTTACTAAACTATAAACACAAATAAAATCAATAAAATATAAATGCTAAGGTGTTAATTTACCTCCAAATAGATAGAAAATCACAAAAAAAATATATTGCAATACCCTTTTTTTTCTTCAAGTCCCAGGAGAATATACCTTCACTAAAATCATTTGTATAATTCTACTGAACAAAAGGTAAAAAGTATCTGTTAACTTGAAAACTGCCGCTTCATGACATAACAAGGTGGGACAGAGCATTTTGAGCTCTGAGAGATGCAGACAGACAGATAGTACAGGGTGAGAAACGTGTGAATGAAACAAAACACAACTCCAGATCTGTTTGTGATGAGGTAACAGCATTATAACATGGCTCAAAGCTCGCAAGTGTCTTTTTTGTGTTATATAGGACCTTTAATGTCAGTGCATTAATTCTTAGGATGTCTCCTTAAAATTAGTAAGTGCAAAAATTAACAAATGAGAAACTTAACCAAGGTGAAAGGGTGAGAGACCATGGGGAGAGACACAGATTCGGGATCTCTCCACAGGGCTGACAGATGGGCCAACAGGTGCTGTCGAGGCAAATACATCAAAAATATGCACAAAAGAGAATCATTGAAACGTTACAACTGGCACCGCCCTACACTTTTCAGCAGCCTTGGGCATAACTTGACTTTACAGGAAGAATTAAATTTGGCATCCTGGTTTAGAATACAGTCTAAATTAGAACAGACATTTTATTAACACAAACACTGTTACAAAAAATGGTAACACTTAATGACTACATTTTAATTTATTAAGAATGATTCAGGCTTGGAAATTACTGAATACTCCTGACTCCTTAAAAGTTACTTGGTGACAAAGCCAAGGGTTTATATTACACAATTGTCTGATCTATGTTATTATGTTGTTTCCTCATCAATAACATACCCTGAGTTGTGTTTTGTTTCATCCACACACGTTTAACACATAAATCCTGCATATTTAGGCTGAATTCTTCTCTCAAATGGAAGACACTCTGTTCCACCTTGTAATATCATGCAGTAATGCAGAAAGTAGTCCACTGTATTTTTAAACTCCATGCACCTTTACTAGAATAATTTGTGAGAGTATTGCCAGTCGCTACTAGCCTGATTCATCAGCCGGTTTCACGTCGTAGAAACCGTCTGACCTTGCGGTGTTAAAATTAATTCGCTTGATGGGTACTTTTTTAAATTTAACCAATCGCTGCTATTTGGTCGTGATGTATGCAATGCGCCGCTAACAAGGCTATCTGGTATATTAAGCTTTTCCCAAATCCCATAAGAAGCAGGGCAATAACGTCTTTCCCCTTGATAAAATTCACAGAACATTCTCTTTGTTCTGGGTTTAAATCCTTGATTTAAAAAATACAGCTTCATGACATCTCAAGGTGGAACAGAGCATTTTGAGCTAATAAACCAGGGTTAGTCACACATGTGTGAATGAGACTCTAGGTATGTTTTTGAGATTACAGCAATGTAACATGGCTAAAAGCTCATAAGAATCCATTTTGTGTAATTTAAGGCTAATTAAGGTGAAGTTATTATGTGGTCTCCTGTAAATACAAGAATAAACTTCTTACACTGGAGTTCTGTTCTTTCGGACCCAAAGTACAAAACCCCGAATACTGGCTATGAAAACTGACAAAGCCACTTCGTTTAAAAGCCAAACATAACAGAAAATCTGCTCTTAGATGACTTGGAGACCTCTTTATTACTGGGACTACGGTAGCAACAATCTGATTTGGTGCAATTACCAAATAGCAGAGGTTGCAGTTTTGAGGGTAATACTATTTCCACTACAAACAACAAAACATCCTGTGTATAGGGGAAAAGTCACTGAAGTTCAAACCCTTACAAACCATTGTGAAAAAGCATGGCTCTTTATATTTCAGACTTCTCCAAGACATAAATCACAATACTTTTCATAAATCCATCCAATTTCATCTAAATTAGACTTTTTTTTTTACAAACTTGCCGTCCTAATTTACATTGAAGCATAAATCTTCTTTTACGCTTGTCTTATTTAAAGTTGCACTGTGTAACTTGTCTGATTTCGGGTCTGCCGCCTTCTTGTCTCCATAGAAATGATTGATCTCTCTTAGTTGTTCCATTGTATTACATTATCCAGAATCAATAACAAGTGTTTTTATTGTTAAAATCAAAGTTAGATAAGTTAATAATCCGTGTATCATTTGTTCATTAGTTTTTCAATATAAAACCAAAAATAAGAAAATGAAAAAAAACAACAATTTTCTTCATTATTTGTCTCCAAAACCAAAATGAAAAAAACAGGTAACGATCTGTTTTTTCAGTTTTCGATTTTGTGTTTAAATGAATAATGAAGAAAACAGGTAATGGTTATTTCTCATTTCTGTGAAAAACTGCGATGATGAACTGATCCAGGACTGAACCAGGACTAAACCAGGACTAAACCATGACTAAATCAGAACTGAACCAGGACTAAACTGGTCTCAGTCCTGGTCTTGGTCCATTTGTCAGTCTCAGTCTCATTTCTGGTCTCAATCCCGGTCTCAGTCCCGGTCTGGTCCCGGTCTGGTCCCGGTTTGGTCCCGGTCTGGTCTCGGTCTGCTCCCGGTCTCAGTCCCCATCTCAGTCCTGGTCTTACTTCTGGTCTGGTCCCGGTCTCAGTCCTGGTCTCAGTCCCTGGTCCTGGTCTGGCCCGGGTCTCAGTCCTGGTTTAGTCCTGGTTTAGTCTGGCATTGCAGTTTAAGTCACGGAAACGGGAAATGACCATTATCCGTTTTTTTCCATTATTCACTTAAACAAGAAATCAAAAACTGAAAAAAATAAATAAATAAATACATTTAAAAAATCATTATCTGTTTTTCTTTTTTTTTTTTTTTCTTTTTTGTTTTGGAGACAAATAAAGAAGAAAAAAAAACGTATTTTTGGTTTTACTTTGAAAAAGAAATGAATGAACGAATAGATTGTCACATGGATCTCTGAGAATAACAGGTGTCAGGCCTTTACCAGAAAACGTACGCAATGCACCTTTAAAACAACTGACTGGCTTCTGATAAATTACAGTGCAAAACATGACTTTATATAAGACTTCACAACTTAAGTGAGAGCAAGTATGACAACTCCACCACAAGTACTTCTAATCCTTCCGATTGTTAGTGACATTTTTCTTTCTAAAATCCGAGCTGACGCAGGTCCTTGACGACAGCCATCTCTGGGTGTGCTGAAGTGGTGTGCGATTGAATTAAAGCATGCATGGGTAACTTTATGTGTCCTCCCAGCTTCAGTTTTCTCACCACCAATAATGCCTTACACTGCCACTTTATTGTTCCTCTCTTTCTGTCTTTTATGTAGCGACAAAATCAAATCAAAGGCCTGCATCGTATAAGGCAAGAAGGAAATCCAATTACTTTAGACACATAGAGCAGTGCATTATGGAGATTTTTCCCATGTGGATCGCATACATTGTAGATTTGGGTGTATAAAGAAACTATTTCCCAGGGATGAGACGAGAGATTGGGAACAAAAGCAGAGAATGAGCATGTCAGAAAAAACAAAGAGCTTTATGGGCCAGAGAAGAGATTGTGAGTCAGTCAAGTAAAGAAAAGAGAAAATGAAAGAATCAAGAAGACTGTACAACTCAATAAAACCACACAGGAACACAATAACAAGTTGGTCCATATGAGAATCTGGGTCATTTCATGGGCATGCTCTGGTTTATGGACTAAAGGGGAGAGTGACAGGCGAGGAGGGAGGTCTGGAAGACTAAAGGGGAGAGTGAGAGGCGGAGAAGGGAGGTCTGCAGGATTAAAGGAGAAAGTGAGGGGGAGGTGGGAGGTCTGGACGACTAAAGGGGAGATTAAGGGAGAAGGGAGGTCTGGAGGACTAAAAGGGAGGGTGAGGGGGAGAGGGAGCTCTGGAGGACTAAAGGGGAGAGTGAACGGAAAGGAGAAGGGAGCTCTGGAGCACTATAGGGGAGAGTAAGGGAGGAGGGAGCTCTGGAGGACTAAAAGGGAGAGTGAGGGGGAGAAGGGAGGTCTGGAGGACTAAAGGGGAGAGTGAACGGAAAGGAGAAGGGAGCTCTGGAGCACTATAGGGGAGAGTAAGGGAGGAGGGAGGTCTGGAGGACTAAAGGGGAGAGTGAAGGGCAGAAAGGAGCTCTCGAAGACTAAAGGGGAGAGTGAGAGGGGGAGAAGGGAGGTGCGAGGACTAAAGGAGCGAGTAAGGGAGGGAGCACTGGAGTACTGAAGGGGAGAATGAGGTGGGAGGTCTGGAGGACTAAAGGCGAAAGTGAGAGGGGGAGAAGGGAGGTCTAGAGGACTAAAGGGGAAAGTGAGAGGGGGAGAAGGGAGGTCTAGAGGACTAAAGGGGAGAGTGAGAGGGGGAGGAGGGAGGTCTG